CCAACAAAAAAAGAAAGTTGATTGCATTCTCGAAAAAAAAAAAGAAATCGACACATCAGCATTATTATAAACATTTTTTTAAAAAAATTTATTAGTGTTTGCTATCAATTCTCACTAGTTCCCTACCAAAAAAAAAAATCAATTCTCACTAGTTTGTAATGTTCAATATTTGGATTCATCCAATGATAAATTCTATACTAATGATGTTCCGATTTTTTATTTGTAAGATATGTGATGATGTTAATTTGTATTAAACAAAAAATTTAAAAAACAATTATTTAATATGCCATAAGAAGAAATAAATTTTGTTCACCTCCTTGACCAACTTTGAAACAAAAAGAGAAATTTATCTAAGAAACATTAATGGCCTACCTTTTTTATTTCGAAAGTTGACTCTATCAAATATCAAGACATTAGAATTATTCATTGATCTAAAGATTCAATTATGATTAACAAATGAGGGAGGATTGATACTGATTTCATACTAACTACAAAATTCTTAGACAAAAAAAAACTCTTGAGGATCTTGACGATTCAGAAGCGTGGGTCTGGTCAAACTTTCAGGTGCGTTGGTTGTTCTTTTAGAAAAACAAGAAATCGTTTTGGTTTTTCGTGTTATCCATTTGGTTTTCTAGCCTCTTATATGTTTGACATATGCAACATAATATTAGAAACAATGTTGATCTTTACTTTTTCTTATCTAACCACACATTGATAAAAAAATATATATATATCCCACTCCTTGATTGATAAACTAATTAGTGATTCTTTTAGTTATGTACGTTACTTCCACATGATGATTGGTGATCAAAATTGAATTCAACTTTTTATCAGTTATGGATTTTTGTATATAGCTGATTAAAATTTGATTACTTTCACCAATATGTATGATCATTTGTAGCTAAAAAAATTTAATAGCCAAGTTTTAGAAAAATGATTTGAAAAATTTCGATAAGACAGAAAAATTTGTTTGCAAAATTGTGAAATTAAATTTTAGAATTTTATTGTAAAATTAGGTTCTTAAAACAATTGTGAAATACTAATTCTATCAATTTTCATAAATGTATATTTATACGTATTAGTTCCTATAGGATGTATTCTATCGATGTTCACCAATGATGATTGGTGATCCAAATAATTTTACATATTTTGAGGTTATCAAAACATGTAACATTATTTGTTTATTACCAAAAACGGACAAACCACAATATATCAAACAAAGTATTTGGAATTACCAAGGAAGGAGGGATGAATATTTTACTATGTTAAGGAAAGACTCAATGACCACATCAATGGCTGGTCAGCAAAATACTTGTGGAAAGAGAGAATGAAATACCGATTATATCAGTTGATTTTTGGCTCGTCCTACATATGTTATGTTTTGCTTTAAAGTTCTTTAAGAACTTACTGCAAAGCTACCAAGTGTTTTTCTAAACTATTAGTGGAGGTTAAAGGAGAGTGCTTGAGGGGTACATTGAGTGGCATGGATGAAATTGTGTAAATCAAAACATGAAGGGGGTGGGTTTTTGAATTTCGAAAAATTCAGTGATTGAAATAGTGGAGATGAATTCAATACCCAATTTCACTAGTAGCAAGGGTGTTGAAAGGGAGATACTACGTGAATGTTCACACTTTGTAGGCAAAAATAAACCCAAACTCATAGAAAGAGGAAAATAAATCGGTTTGGTGCTATATAGCTAACCCTTGGATACCAAAACTTATTTCACGACCGGCAAATGGAAGAGGAAAATTTTTCCACCGAAACTTGATGATAAATCATTTGATCAATCTGCCAACACAATATTGGCACTGACGTGTTCTTCAAGAGTTTATGGTTCTAGGAGATATTCCATGTTTATGGCATTATACAAAATGGGAGAGATATACGGTTAAGTCAAGATATTGGTGAACTGAGACTATGTTTATGTTTGAGGAGGTAGAGTGGAGCATGAGATGTAGAGCATTAAAAGCTTAAACATGAAAAACTAGAGCTTTTTGATATATTGCATCGGCATCCTTAGCAGTTATCTGCAACAACGTGGAATAAGATGTGATATCACCTGTCAAAGGTCTGGGAAATCAGAAGAAGCCTTTAATCATGCTCTTTTTTATATCTCCATCCTCCTTTCAAACTTAGGAGTTGTCAACAATTCCTTTAACACTTGGATGTTTTACAAGTTTTGTGCCCACGAATCTGGAGTTTCTATTTTGGAGAGTACCATCTCAGCATAAGGAGCAACAAATCTCTCTAGTTGTTTCCCATGGATTTTATTGTTCTTATGGAATGATACGAATATAAATATCTTTCTAGAAATGTAAAATTGTCGACCTTTTGTTTTTGCATTGCAATCTAAAGACACTTCCAAAATCAGTTCCAGAGTTTCATCTCATTGACAAGCATCATGGGAGGAATAGTATGGCGGATCTTCTGGCTAGGAAAGTTCGGGATAAGAACTCTTTTTTTCTTGTATAGGAACTTCGTTCGTAAAACAAAAAATCCGATTTCAATAACTTTCTCTAAGATTCCAGAAATTTGAATGTTTATGGTCCCAAAAAGATCCTAAAAAGGGATGCGATAGAGTTTCCCAAAATATGATAGGTTTCAGGCTTTCACTTTACTAATCTCGATTCATAGCTCTACTGCTATAATCTATTTAATGGAATAAGTGCCATTAACTGAGTCCAGTGCATCATAAATTGAGTCCAACCGTATATAATACCACTCATAAATTGTAAATATTTAGTCAATTTCGTGGAAATCTGCTATATTGCATTTTTTGCTCTAGCCAACTAGGTGATAGTTCATGTAACGACTTGGTAAACATCTTACTTGATATGTAACTTTCAAAAGATATCTTCCATAATCGGATACTCCTTTTCTCCATTACCATCTCATAATCTTGAAAAACTTTTTTTTCCGTCAATATCTTATAATTATAAAGGTTTAGAAATCCAAATCCAAATAGGAAGAACAAAGTTAACATAGCAAATATCTTGCGGGTGTAGTCGAACACTAAATGCTACCATGTCCTCTTTGAAATTCAAAGTGGGGAATAAACGAAATCGTAAACAAAGAAAACAATTCTTTAGTCCTTGCAATCTAAAGGTCAATCAATCTTCACCAAATCAGAACAGTTCGTTGGAAAAATGCTACCCTTGTGTATTGTTGGTCTATCATATAGTAAGCACGGCCAGATGAGTGTTCCTAATTTGGAATGTAGTGGATAGAGGCTTCTTCGTATATTTCGAGCTCCCATAATGGATCATACTACATCATCTTCATAGCAAAACCACCCCCGCAAATAAATGTCTCCTTCCAAAGCCATCTATATGGAATTGTATCTCAGAAAACCTAAATTTTTTGATAATTGAAACCTTTCTTTTAGTTTAATCAAGATTCATAAGAAATAGATCGAGCAGCTTTTTTTGCAATTTGTAACTGAATTACATTTTCAATAGCCTAATTATACCAAATATCATATCAATACTAATATAGATAAAGAAACTTACCAATGTTTTCATCCATTTATTGCAATTAGTGCTATTGCATGTGACGAAACTGTGTCCCTTCTTTTATGTGGAGTCAAAATTGAGCTAAACAATTTACAATATCACACAAGCATTGTAAGTATCAAATCAATGGCATTGGATTATTCCAAATGGATTTTTTTGGCCGAGCCAACTGATTAATAGTCATGTAGCCACTTCACATATATTTTGCATGGTCTGAAACACTGCTTCTCTGTTATTCATCGTCCAGTCTTTTAATTTTTCATATAATTATATCAGGCAATTTTTTTGGCAATTTCTTGGCGAAATAAAATGTTTTTTATAGCATAACTTTCTAATTTTGCATCAGTAGTATTACATAAAAGTTTATTTGGTCATTTGGAAAACGACCATGATTCTAGAAAAATTTATTGGGGAAACGACGCACAACTGTGCAGCGGAATAAAGTTTTACATGCACTAATATGAGTATGTGAAAAAATACAACAAAACGAGACATCAAATTATACGTGGAAAAACCCCTCAATGTGAGGAGTAAAAACCACGAGACCGTAGTGCACTCAAAATTCCACTATCACCATTGTATTTGAGTACAACCACGCCCTCGAGAGACTAAGGCTACAAAATGCAATTTCCAACAACAGGAAAACAACACAAGAGAGAGTACACAAAAGTCTAGAAATATGCAGTCCCAAACAACCCTAGATTCACTAAGATTTTGGTCTCCTATTCAGATCTCTACCGTAAAAATCTTAGATAAACAGGTCAGGAACAACTTAAACCGGGAAGAATTCGTTGTTGGATCACCAAAACACTCACGACATATGTTGCAGAAAAATCTGAAAATTTCAGACACGACCAACCACGCTAAAACTCAGATTTCTCTCAAACCAGCTGTTGAAACCGAATCTCCACCGTTGAATATCAAGACCACTGAGTCACAAAAATATCATCCAAAAATCAGCCATATTGGAGCTCGTTTGAGTGCCCAAACGTTCAACACAACAAACCCTAACATCTCTATTTTTCTCCTCCTTTAGATCCGAAAATCACCTCTCTTCTCATTATTTTCTCTTACACCAAAAATTAGGTTAAGATTGTTTATATAGTCACTCATAATCCCAAGCCCAATATCAACCTCATGGATTAATATAAATGGTCCAAGTCCAAGTTTGGTTCTCCAAAATCAAACTCAAATTGGTTTCCTCTATTAGGGGGAAAACCAACAAAATTTGCTGAAAATATTACACTTGAAAATGAAAGATAAAACGTTTACCACTAAAATCAATGAAATGACCACGAAAGAGAAAGAAAAAAGAAGATAAAAGGAAAAATATCTTTTGAGTTTTTTTTCGTCGATGACAAAACAACTAGGAAACAGATCGAAACAACATAGACCTTGGTAAAAGCTTTCTCACAGTCGACATGATCACTTAGAGGAAGACCATATAAAGTTATATATCTAAATCTAGACCAAAATGCATTGTCATCAAATCATGAAAACTAAACCGTGAATGTATAGAGGGTACACAACACACTGATTTTACTTGGAACGCGCCAAGCCAATGCTTATATACTTGTTTTGTTGATAACAACGATCTTTTACAAGGATATATCTTATCTCGGCCCTTACTCAACCTATTCTACCTAAATAGGACTGAACCCGACTAAAACAAGCCTTAACCTTAACCCTTTTTGTTCTATTCACTCACCTGTGAAACACAAAGATATCTGCTTTCTACTTTCTGTTCAGCCGCCCGTGAAACACATAGAGAACTGAACACTCTCCTTCTAAGCCTTTTTTTTCCTTTAGCCTAGAAGTTAAAATTCTCACCAATATAATTCGAGAGTGCTTCAGTGGCTCATGACCAACCCCTAGAATATTTATACTATTCTCGAGAATCCTAAATCCTAGGATCTCTGAGGATCAACAATCGGGATCTTCCTTGTTCTTCAAACTTATACCTTTCCTTATTTGTTGTGGATAATATTCACCAAATCTCCACAACTTCTACTTCCTATATCCACGCCAAGTCATCAAAGCTCCTTGGCACATCACATTAACAACTCTAACTCTGCCATGTTAGCAACTCAAACGTTTGATGTGATCCGATGCAGCTTCATGATGTCTCCCTGATTTCCATCAGCTCCATATTCCCAGAATCTGCATCTTCACAAACTATAGCTTAATTAAGCCTCAATAGATTGGAAAAAAAACGTAATTAAACTAAATCTGTATTGAGATAATTTAAGTATAACATAGAAATGTTTTACTAACGGTTGGAGAAAAGTTTGAACTAAATCTATAAAGTAAAATATTTTGATGCCCGCTTTGTTTTTCACTATCATATATAGGTCGATTTATTTAAAGATGTTTTGAGCATCTTTGTTGCTTCTGGTTATACAATGGCTTCATATATTTTTAAAGAAATTTTAGATACAAAAGAGAACATTTCATTGTCTGTTTTAATTTTACCCATTGAAGGATTTCACTTGTTGAAGACCATCGCTAATTGTTTTCTTCCTCTTTTGCAGTTATTTCCAAGTAGTGAGATTTCAAGGAGAATGGATTCAATCAACCAACAAGACAGAATATCAAGTCTACCGGATGTAGTTCTGGTTATGATCCTCTCTTTCTTGTCCTTCAAGGATAATATAAAGACGAGCGCTCTCTCGAAGCGCTGGAGGAACCTCTGTTATGAAACAAGGAACATTTCCTTTAAGGAATCAGAGTATGTGGACCACTTTGTCTCCGACTATGTCTCCAAAAGGACGTCATTTGTTCAGTATATGTTTAATTGGGTATCTAGAGTTCCCATTCAAGTTATCAAAAGTTTTGAAATTTGTTTCGGTTATCCAGTGGGCTTCGAGGCAGAGATCAAGTCTTTGATTGAGTTTTCCATCTCTAGACAAGTGAAGAAGTTAGTTCTTGATTTCTCAAGCCCTTTTTCGAGTCACACACGGGATGAGTATAGATATGATGACTTTGTTATTGAATTGCCTGCCCTTATTTACGGTCTACAAACCCTCGAATCATTGAAGATTTACGCATGCTTGTTTGACCCCTCGAGATTCGCAAACATAGGACTAAAAAAGCTCTCTATTGGTTGGTTCAGACTTAAGAATATCGAATCTTTGCTATCAAAGTTCCCTTTGCTTGAGAGTCTGAGTATCATCTCTTGTTCCCTTGATGAGATTATGATAGCTGGGCAAATTAGAGAAGTAATCATTGAAAACTGCATTATCCCTTACATGTCTTGTTCGTTTAACCTACCTAACATAGAAATCTTCAAGTACTCCGGCGATCTTATCTTCTTTGATTTTGCGAAAGTGAATATGATATTACTGAAAGAAGTTTACTTAGACTTTGGAGTAGAGCATGATAATGATGAACCAAGCTTTTCAACCGAAGAAGCCGGAGGTATCCTTTCTCATCTGCTTAATGATCTTCGATCTTCTAGGACCTTGACTGTCTGCTCTTATCTCCTTGAGGTACGTTTTTAACAATAAATTCTTTGCAATATAAACAAATTTTTATATATTTGTTTTCTTTCAGTATTTAAAGCGCAATCAAGACCGATTTTACTCTATTTTTACATTAGATTTTTTAAAAAAATATTTACGCGATATAATAATATATAATTATGGTCTAGAGGATTATAAATATGTTGAACACGTAAATTAGATATGTTCATTTTGTTAAAGTAGAGTATATATATAACCTTAAATTATTACGTTGAATTGTTTCACAAAAGAAATGATCGAACCATGTGTGTGCTTATTATAATAGGTGATTCCAGACTGTAACGATCCACTTGATATGCTTTGTGACGTCAAAACACAAAATTTGGTGCTAGAAACGCATCTGCATCCGGAGGAGTTTATGGGAATCAGGCTCCTTCTCGAACATTGCCCGAACTTAGAGACTCTCACTTTCGAGGTTCTCTCACCAAGACCTTTCCCTGTAAGATTACAATATATTGAATACATATTAATAGTCACATTACTCTATACAAATAAATTTTTACCACTCGTATTACTAAAGCTCATGTTGATATTTCGCAGATGGCTCCATATGGTGGCATAAGTTCACAGATATTTTGGCTAGAAAACATCTCATCCAGGTGTTTGAGAAGGACTCTCAAGATCCTAGTGGTCAAGGGTTTTTGTAGTAGTTGGAACGAGTTTTACTTGTTGAACTATTTTGTTCAGCCGGCGCATGGGTATGCATTGGAAAGAGTTGAACTCTACATGCCGACTTGGTTGAAAGAAACTCCAAAGCAGTGGGCACATTATGGTGCCGCGATGTTGCAAAGCACTTCAAATCGAGTACAAGTTATTTTGCACAACGGTTGAAAAGTTCCTTATCATGACTTCTCATTTATGGGTTTTGGTGCGTTTGTTGATGTTTTCAAGATTAATTCATCGACACTAAGTTTGGAACTTTCGGAATCTTGGTTTGTTTGATATATGAATAAGAGCCTCGGAATAACGAGGACTTGCTTTTGGTTTGCTCAACAAACCAAAAACAATAATAAATATTTGAGTAATATCATTATGATATCATATACTATTTAAAGTTAATTAAGACTCTTTTCAATTTAATATTTTGTTTTTTCTTTATTTTTTCTATATGATTTTCAGTTTTGGTAAGTTTTTTTTTTTTTTAGATTTTGTTGATATATTATAGGGCTTGGTAATCATTTAAATAGCTATATGTCGACATTAGTAATACAATCATTTAAGGACTGTCATGATTTTTGATTATTTTTAACATAAATATTTTTAACATCACCGTCCGGTTACCACTAAATATTAGTTTTTTGTTCAGTTTGATAATGTATAAATTGATATAAGGCGTATACAGGTTTAATTACCATAGATTTTTTGTTTTCTATTTTACTAATTAATTCATTTATTTATTTCTACCTAAGTATGTAAAAAGACTTCAAAATTTTAGTGATTAAAAAAATCTAATATCCGAGCATCAAACCTAGAACATGAAAAATTACTAATTGATATTTAAATGAAAATAAAAAAGGGAATATACTTACACATGTTACGTAACTCTTGATTGATTATTGAGTTCAATTTGTTTTGTTTTTTTTTTGTCATTATTTAGTTCAAATTTAGTGAGACAGATATGAAATGTTTTTCTATTTATCCCAATAATAAAAAATTATTTTTCTTGCTACAATTTATTGTCATTCATTTAATTTTACAAATAATTTCTTTCAAAGAAAAAAACCTTATAAAACCCAACCAAATTAAGCCAAACCGAATTAAGCGAAACCGAACTGAGTTTGGTTAAAGAGATATGTTTTTTTTTTTAAATCAAAATAACCGAATCAAATTTAACTTTAAGTCAAACCAAATTGTCTGACTCCTAATTGTGATTAAAAGGAGATATTGGCAAATTTAGTTAGAGAAATAATGATATTATTTTATTTATTACTAGATATGGGCCTGTGCGTTGCACGAGTTACTGGTCGAAATTATCATTCTTAATTATTAATATTTATGCTTAAGAATATTTGCCGTCATAATAAATTATGACATTAAGAAAAGTTAAAATATGAGATAGTCTCTATTCACGATGTGTATCTTTACTTGATAATATGAGACATCCTATAAAAAAAGACAACATTATAAAAATTAGGGAATATGTATAAAATAACCTTAGACTAAAAAATAATTAGGAAAATACTATTCGACTAAACAATGTCTATTTGTTACATGGTTTTGTCAATTTTTGGTCCATATTACTCATTTTTCTTCGTTCTCTTTTCTTTACTTCCTCTCGCCGGCAAAAAAATCTCAAATATATCTCTTTCTCTCATTAGATTTCTCTTATTTTTGTTGGATCTCTTCTTTCTTTCTCCTTCTCTCCCTCGGATTTCTTCACCACCATATATCTTTTTTCCCTAATTCCATTTCTCCCATTTGTTGGGCTTCACCACCGAGTCCCACCACCATAACTGAAGCTCACTACTTTCTCAATCACAACCACTATCAATACAAAATCTCGCTAATTCCAACCTAGCATGTTCATCAACATTGATCGTTACCACTACCAATTCCAACCTAGCATCTTTATTAGTGTTTGCTATCAATTCTCACTAGTTTGGGGGAGAACGACATGTGTCCCCCCACGAAAATTCATATAGTACCATAACAACACAGATTTTGGGTCTCGTCTCGAGTCCACACAAAACGAAAGTTAAACTCTAGTTTCCTCCTAAATTGAAAGTTCGAGACCTCATTCTCCATAAATTCAAATTACGTGGTTTATCATTGATTTACTGTGCCGAACCCGATGCCAAACCAAAACCCAGAATAATAAACCGATTTGAAACCCAATTCGAGTTATCCCAACCCGAAATAAATACCATTTTCAAGAATCCCCAAATTGAGAAATCTTAGAACCCTAATTTCGATTTCTCTTCTTCCTCTTCGATTTCAAGTTTGCTCACAAATCTAAGCTCGAATATGAGCAATTCATCTGGAGCTACGAGTGGAGCATCAAATGTGGGACAGAGAAGGAGAGTTGTGGGTGTGCCGAAGATGTGTTAGTGTGGAGCTAGTATCTCGGTGATCATCTCAAAATCTGCCGCCAATCGATACCGCCGTTACTATCGTTGTGCTTATGCTGCATCACATAAGGTAATGTGATTGATATTTGGATTGTTTCTTACAAATTTTGACTTTAATTCTCTGTTATCTGTAGCTTATTGATGATAACCACACTTTCAAGTGGGTTGACGAAGCATTGTTAGATGAGATATAGAGATTGGCTATAAGAACAACTGCACTTGAACAAACCATTTCCCAGATTACATCAGAGACTATGGATCACCAGAGATGATTTTTGAGAGGATGCAAATGAAGCTAGAGAAAAAGATTTTTGAGAGGGTAGAAGCAGAACTGTTGGAATCCAAATCACGCATGAAGAAAATGTCGTCTGCTGTCATTGTAGGTTGTATGTTCATGCTTGGTTTGAATAAAGTGATAGACTGAAACGAGTGTATTGGCTTGTTATTGTTGGTTTATGTTTGTGCTTCTTGTTGTTTTATGTTCTTGTTGTTGTTGTAATGTCTTGATCTCTCTTTTGTTGGTCTAATGAAAAACACAATTTGGATCTTGTTCTTGTTGTTTTGTAATGTGCTATTCTATAACAGAGACAAATTGGCAAAAACAGAGAGAAAATAGCTAAAACAGTGACATATTAGATTGTTTAAATGCATAAGGAGGCTCAATGCAATGTATTACAACCAACCAACCAAAAGACAGAGACATAACAATGTACCATTAAACATGGTCATGAAACCAAAAACACAAAGCCGAACTACTCTAATTCTTATCAGATGGTACACCAAAAAACCTGCTGCCATCTTACACTACTCTAATCCTTCAGCCTTGAGACATCACCACTCCTTGAGACGGTTCCACTTAACTGCCATGAGTTACAGTCCCAACTCCTTCAAAGGCCTAAGACAAATCATGAAGAAAAAAAGTTCAGTAACTTTTTGTGTCCAGCTGAACCAATAAGTAATCATACTTACCAATGCAGAAGACTTCTTCTTCTTATGAAACCTGGAGTTGTGACCAGCTGCATAACAAACACCACAGTGCATTACGTTTTCATCTATTTAGGTGCCTTCTTTGTAGGTTACTCATTCTTTCCCTTCTTTCTCTTTTTGTCCTTTTTACTCTCTCTTCCTTTCTACCTCCCAGGTGTAGGTGGTGGTAGTGGTACATGCACATTAGGATGATCTGTTGATGGCCAAAAAGCAGGTTCTCCCTGTGGAAATAGGCCGTCCGTGTAGTTCTTCTGCCACATAGCTGTCCAAAACCAGTGACACACATAGTCTTCAACCTCAAGACTCTTCTCTAAGATGACTCCATAAGCATGCTCACAAAGAATGCCACAGATTTGCCATTTCTCACAAGTGCAAGTCCGCTCACTCAAGCTTATCCTATGAGTATCTAATCCTCTGGTAGCTTCATACATGTCATTAGTGCTTCTTCTTATATTCATCTTTGAAGCTTTCTTTTGTTCCTTGGCAATAAACTTACCAACATATGGCGTGCATCTCCCATTATGGTCATGAGATTCCACAGATCTCTTGAAGATTCTGACCATTGCAAGTCTCCTAATGGTCTCAATCATTGGCACAAATGCTTTGTCTCTAGCCTTGACAATGGAGTTGTTGAAGGACTCGGTTGAATTATTCTCTACATCTTCATAGTAGTTTCCTTGCTTGTAGAATGCCCTGCACCAAGTTCTTGGTTTTGACTTGACAACATCACGCCAAACTGCCACATTGTAGTTGTAAAGCTCAGTCATGTGAGCTTCAATGCTGCTCTCATTGTAGCTCCATGCCACATCCCAAATGTACTTCTTCATCTCTTTATCTTTTCCATGATTCTTCTTCATATTACCATAGATGTGTCTCACACACATTCTTTGCTTTACTTTTGGTAGCTCTAGCTCAACTGCTCGGATCAAACCCTGTAAAATAAAGAAATCTGAAGCTTATTATGTCATGAAACAGAAACAATAAATGATTAAATGTGAAGAAATCTGAAGCTTATTACCTTTTGACGATCAGACACTATGATGTAACCATCACCATCCATTAGTCCCAAATCATCTTTTAGCTTCCTCACAAACCACACCCAATTCTCTATGTTTTCTACATGAACACACCCCCATGCTATTGGTTATATAGCATTATTAGCATCTCTACCTAAAGCAACCAACAACTAACCTTTAACATTTCCTTTGATAAAAGTTTCATCCACTCCAATCAATGGCCTACAAGACTCTTTCCATGTTCTCTTAATCGCATCAAAATAGACATAGAACCTATTAAATACCTCTTGTCCTGCATCATTTGTCACAGTTAGAACTTCAAAAGTTGAATCTTTGTTGGACTCTCTTATCTCTTCAGCATTGTCTTGAAGCCTAGCAAACTGATTATCATATTCCTCTTCTATCCATCTCAATGCTTTTCTCCTTGCAGCTTGACGTTGAGACCTAGAAACTGTGATCTTCCATTTCCTTTTAATGGTTTCTTCAATCTTCATAGGCATGAAATATTCGGGTTCATCTCTAATACTATCTAGAAACAACCTAGCAATAACAAGAACATTCAACATCTCACAATCTCCATTCGGATTACATGTGTGGACATCCTTGTACACGTTAACTCTCCACTTAGAACATTTCTTCGTGATTGCACAGTATATCCGCCATATACATCCATCCCCATCACATTTAAATCCAAGCTTCGTTTCATCATACTTGTATTGTGCGATGTTGCAGCCTGTCTTCAAAGCATTGTCGAGAACAGCTTCTTTAAAAGCAATGGCGCTGAAGAATGTCTGGTGATAGTACAAATTCCCACCTCCGGCTCTGATGTCGTCTCGTTTTCTCTCACGAGCAGCTTCGTCTTCTTCATCTTCTTCACTGTCTAGATACTCATCATGTAGAATCGAAGGTTCGTCTCTAAACTCCATTACAGCCTTCTCGATTTCAAAAGCGTCTCGCTCCCTTGGGTCTTCATCGTCGGGTACATTGTCAGGTCCATTGTCTCCTGGATCTCCTTCCTCTTGCGGACCAACTCCAGTAGCCTCCTCATGAACGACGACAGCATTCGTATAAAGCTCATTCGAATCCATCAATTTGGGGATTTTTTGATTTTAGGGTTCTAAGGTTCAATTTGGGGATGTTTTGTTTTTAGGGTTTGATTTGGGGATTTTACGATTTGGGAACTATCGGGTTTAATGGGTCTAATAATCGGGTTGGTTTCTGGGTAAATCCGGTTTAATCTCGATGTTAAGCGGTTAATGGTGTTTCCGGCACAGTAAACCAATGATAAACCACAAAATTTGAATTTATGGAGACTGAGGTCTCGAACTTTCAATTTAGGGGGAAACTGGAGTTTAACTTTCGTTTCGTGTGGACTGGAGACGAGATCCGAAATCTGTGTTGTTATGGTACTGTATGAAACTTCGTGGGGGGACACACGTCGTTCTCCCCTAGTTTGGTAATGTTTGCTATCAATTCCAACCTATGATATTTCAATTTTTTTTATGGGATATCTATACAGGATGACCATAGAAGATTCAATAATTAGTTCTCTCTCTTTGGTATTATTTGATATTTACTGTGCATATGGAAAATACAACACTATCCTTAACTATAATTAAATTTCTTATCTCTTAATTCTTTCTTTTTTTTTTTCTTCTTTCTTGTTTTTTCACTATGAAATTGACATAACAAAATCAAACTTTTGTAGGTTTTCGGCTATGTGAAGGCCAAAACCAAAACGGTGGTAGTTTCGGGTGATTTACATTTGGTGGTGGTGATGATGAAACTGGTGGTGATGGGTGATGATGATACCAACAATAATAATTTTAGAGGTAGTGGTCATATTTGAGATAGTGGTGGTAGTTTCGGGGATTTACAGGTGGTGGTGGTGATGATGATACTGGTAGTGATGGGTGATGATACCGATGATGATGATTTTACTAGCGGTAGCATAGTTGAAATGATCTCGGGGCGATTACGACACATAAAGAATTCCATGGTTCAAGACCTTGACGGAATTATGCAATGAGGAATTTACCAATTGGAGTTTTGATGAGGTTAATCGATCAAGATAGGGGAATGGGTATCGACCACGGCAATAACCATTGTCACATTCTTCTGGGTTTGATTCCATGACATATAACAATTTAATTAGCAATGTAACGTATATAAAATGCTAACATATCTTAAACGCAACAATTATATTATCGTGATAAATGAATATGCTAATGTATAAGTTAACGGAAAAAATTAAATTATTAAATTAAATAAACAAGTTTAGTACATAAGTTAGCTGATATAATCATATAATATGTAACACCCCGATTTCAGGAATATGGTGGTGCATGCAGAGAGGTTTAAAAGAATTGATTTGGCCACCTATTTCACCAAAGTGCACTTATCTTTTCGGTCAACTGTCCTGAGAGGAATCCACAGTTAAGCGTGTTTGAGCTGGAGCAATTTCAAGATGGGTGACCTTCCGGGAATTGATTGTCGGAACTTTGTGAGTGAGGACAAAACACAGGGAAAGATCATGTGGTGATTTGTTGGGTTGGTAAACAAGTCTTTAAAGCCTCCCGAACATTGCAGACCCGCCGTCGGACAAGGGTTGGCCCATGGGCCGAGTAAAGATGTGGGTCCCATTAAGAGAGGTGTGGCTGTCGGGGCGTTACCTAATAAATGATATGAAATGATTTAACATGTTAATCATGTAAGAGAAAGACTAATCCTTTTTATTGAACTGCTATATACATAAATGAAAAAACACTAATTCACAAATTTAAATCGATAAACATCCATTTAACATATAAAATGTAAACTTACCGTGATAGCAAATTATTTAGCATATTAAACACATATTATATGTAATGTTAACACAATAATTAACCATTTAAAACTATATCTGATTTGTTACCAGAAATTTGACCGTAACTATTGTCGGAATACATCTGAAATATTTATCTCGTCGATATCTATTTTATTATACCGCTAAACAATTTTTTACATACGAAAGGGTATTTTCGTTCAACTTATATAACTTGATGAGTGAGAACTAATTATACAAAATAAACATGTACATATTTTTAATTTTTCAGTGATCTATGTATTTAGATTAAATTAACCCTTTTTATGAGTAAGATATGTGATATGTTAATTTGTATTAAACAAAAAAATAAAAAATAAAAAACTATTTAATATGCCAAAAGAAGAAATAAATATCATTCAACTTCTTCTTATCAAATTTTCAAACAAAAAGAGATATAAATCTAACCCAGATTAATGTGTTTAACTGGATTACAATATAATACTTAATTTAGATTTTATTCATTTAGAAAGTTGACTCTTACTTTGACTCATCAAAAAATCAAGATATTAGCATTAGTCATTGAATCAAAGGGAGGATTGATACTGATTTCACTAACGACAAAATTCTTAGACAAAAAAAAACTCTTGAGATCTTGACGATTCAGAACCGTGGGTGGTCAAAGTTTCAGGTGCGTTGGTTGTTCTTTTCGAAAATTAAGAAATCGTTTTTGTTTTTCATGTTGTCCACTTGATTTCAATCCTCTTTTTACAGTTGCAACAAACACACATTTAATAAACACAATTTATTTTTTAGTTTTTTTATACATTTGATATATGTACAATAATATTGTAAACAGTATTGATTCTTTACTTTTTCTTTTCTAACCATATATTGATTAAAAAAAAAACCACTCCTAAATTGATAAATAAATTTAGAGGAAACGAATTAAAAAACCAATCTCAAAAATCTAGACATTCTTTTACTTATGTACGTCACTTCCACAACTAACCAAATGATGACTGGTGATAAAAATAAATTCAATTTTTTATCAGTTAAGCATCTTTATATACTGATAAAATTTGATTACTTTCACCAATATGTATAAATGATCATTTGTAGCCAAAAGTAAATTTAATAGGCAAATTTTGAAAAACATCTTGAATATTTCGATAAGACAAAAAATTTGTTTGCAAAATTGTGAAAATCTTAGAATTTTACTTTTAAATTAGGTTCTTAAAATAATTGGGAAATACTTATTCTGTTGATGTTCATAGGTGTATATTTATACGTATTAGTTCCTATAGGACTTATTCTGTTGATGTTTACCAATGATGATTGGTGATCCAAATAATTTTACATATTTTGAGCTTATCGAAACATATATGAAATATCGTATATATATATATATATATATATATATATATATATATATATATATATATTTACGTATTTGAATTACTATAAAGTTATATCAAAAGTTTTTAGGAAACTCATTCAACTTTCTTTTCAGGAAAACTTATTACAAAGAATTACTTGATAGCTCAAGAGATGTTCCATGATTTACGTATGGAGAAGATTTTTTGGCTATTAAGATTGATATGAATAAAACATATGAAAAGATAGAATGGACCTTGTTAGAGGTTTTTCTTATTCGCTTAGGCTATAATTATGTTTGGATTTCTTCGATCATGTAGAATATTAGTTAAGTTTCTTACCAGGTGTTGTTGGACGGGAAACCTAAAAGACATATTGGTTTCTACGTTATTATTGGGAAATATGGAATAGCTTTAGGTCAAAAACTCAACTTCAATTTATTATCGGTTATGTTTGGTATGAAAATATTATACCAAAAATAGGACCAACTAAATAAAAATATTAGAAGGAGGGATGAATATTTAACTATGTCAAAGAAAGACTTTATTGACCCATCAACTGCTTGTCAGCAAAATACTTGTAGAAAGAGGGAATGAAATACCGATTATATTAGTTGATTTAACTCTTTCTACATAGGTTCTGTTATGCTTTAAAGTTCTTTAGGAGCTTACAACTAAGCTAACAAACGTTATCTCAAACTATTGGTGGAGTAAAGGAAAGTATGTGCGGCCTACATTGAGTGCCATAGAAGAAATTGTGTAAATCGAAACATGAAGGGGGTGGGTTTTCAATATTTCAAAAAATTTAGTGATGATATGTTGGTTAAACATTATTGGAGATGGATTCAGTACCCAATTTCACTAGTAGTAAGGGTGCTGAAAGTGAGATATATATTACGTGAATGTTCACACTTTGAAAGAAAAGAAAAAAATAAACTCTCTGTCATAGGATGGAAACATATTTTTTGACAAAAAAAACTCGTGTAAGAAGGAGAATATATCAGTTTGGCGATATATATCACCCTTGGATACCAAATGTTAATACATTACCAGAAAATGGCAGAGAAAATTTTCTCAACCCAAACTAGATGGTAAATAAGTTAATGAATCTGCCAACAAAATATTGGCATTGATGTTTCCTTCAAGAGTTTTTGGTTTTAGAAGATATTCCATTTACTTTGGGCATGGCGATAATTCAAACTTACAAACTAGGGCCCCGAATGTTTACTAGTTTTTAAGTGGTTTTTGGTTTTTAGATTTTGGTTTTTGGATTTTGGTTTTTTAAACTTTGGTTTTTGGTTTTTTGCTATAAATATAAAAGTTAATTAAAAAAATAAAAAATAAAACATAATCACGTTGGAAAAAAAAGTTTTCCACAAAAACCTCAAAATCATGGTTTTTAGTTTCTCTTTGAAACTTGGAGAAACCACTTAAAAACTAGTTTTCCTAAATTTTAGGGAATCTAATTTTTTTAAATCTTGAATGATAGATTTTCCCATAAACAAAACCAAAAACCACTTAAAATCTAGTAACCATTCAAGGCCTAGATAAGCTGATTTAGCATCATAGAAAATGTGAGAGATATATGGTTAAGTTAAGCTATTGGTTAATTGAGAAGGTAGATTAGAGCTTGAGCTGTAGAGCAGTAAAAGCTTACGCATGGAAAACTAGAGCTATTTTAAAACTCAAACACTTTCTTTGGTAACTTGCATCGGGTTCCTTCGCAGTTACTTCAAGTCTACAACGACGTGGAATAAAATATAATATCACATGTCAAAGGTCTGGGGCATCAGAAGAAAACATTAATCATGCCCGTTTTATGTATCCATCCTCCTTGCAAATTTGGAAGTTAAAAACAATTCCTTTAACACTTAGATGTTTAACAAGTTTGGTGCCTACAAATTTGAATTTTTTTTTATTTTTGAGAGTACCATCTCACCATAAGGAGCAACAAATCTCTCTAGTTGTTTCCATGTGGCTTTTATGGTTCTTATGGAGTGATAAGAATATAAATATCTTGCTAGAAATAGAAAACTGTCGAGCTTTTTTTTTTGGATTGCAATCTGAAGACACTTCCTTAATCCGATGTGGAGTTTCATCTCACTGACAAACATCACTGGAGTTTCATCTCACTGACACTTCCACAAGAATTCTTTTTTTCTTGTATAGACACCTCTATTCCTTATTGGTTCAGTTTTCTCTAATAAGTAATACAGTGTGTTCGTAAAAACAATCGATTTCAATAACTTTCCCTAAGATTCCAGCAATTTGAACCATCATGGTCCCAAAAGATACTAAAAAAGAATGCCATAGATTTTCCAAAAATACGATAGGTTTCAGGTTTTCAATTTACTATCCTCTATTCATATCTTTCTGCTTTCATCTATTTAATGGAATAAATGCCATTAGTGACTCGAGTGAAAGATAAATTCAGTCGAACCGTACATAGTACCACACATAAATTGTAAATATTCAATCAATTCCGTCGAAATCTGCTATAATTTACTTGCTGCTCTAACCAACTGGTTAATAGTCCATGCAATTACTTGGTAAAAATCTTACATAATATGTAACTTTCAAAAGGCATCTTCCAAAATCTGATACTCATCTTCTCCATTTCTCAAAAGCTTGAAGAACGTTTTTTTCTTTTCAACATTGTATAATTTAAACTGTTTGGATAGCCAAATAGGAAGAAGTTAACATAGCTCATATCATGCGGGTAAAGGCAAGCACTATGTGCTAACATGCCCGCTTTGATAATTAAAGTGTGTGGTATAAACGAAATAGTAAACAAAAACAATTCCTTACTCCTCCCAAACTTCTCTCAAGGTCAATCACCAAATCAGAGTAGTCTGTTGAAAATGTTGCCCTCGTCTTTTGATGATGCTCTATCATACAGTAAACATGGTCCAAATGAGTGCTTCTTATTTGGAATATAGTGAAGAGAGGCTTCTTCATATATTTCAGAGCTCCCATAATGGATCATCCTACATCATCTTGATAGCAAAACCATCCCAAACCCGCAAATAAATCTGTCTCCTTCCAAAGCCAACTATATGGAATGATATCGAAATTGAGCCAAACAATGTGCAATATCCCACAAGCATTGTAAATATCAAATCAATGGCATTGGATTATACCAAATGTTTTTTTTTTTCGGTAGAGCGAACTGATTAGTAGTCATGCAGCCACTTCAGATATATTTTGCATCGTCTGAAACACTGCTTCTCGGTTATTCATCACCAAGTCTTGTAATTTATAGTATAATTAAATCAGGCAATTGTTTTGGCAATTTCTTGGCGAAATAAAAAACTTTTAATACCAAAAAAATTTCTAATTTTACATCCGCAGTAGTAAATAAAACTTTCTTTGGTCATTTGGAAAACAACATGAGTCTAGAAAAATTTTCTGAAAAATAACACTCGACAATGAAAGATAAAACAGTTACCATTAAAATCAATGAAATGACCACAAAAGAGAAAGATAAAAAGGAAAAAACATCTTTTGAATTTTGTTTCTTCAACGACAAGTCTAGGAAAGAGATCGAAACAACACAGACCTTGGTAAAAGCTTTCCGACAGAGTCACAATCGACATGGTCGCCTAGAGGAAGACAATATAAGTCATGCATATATCTAAATCTAGACGAAATTGCATTGTCTTCTAATCATGAAAACCAAACTATAGCTTAGGCCTCAATATATTGGAAAAAACATAATTGAACTAAACCTATATTGAGATAATTTAAGTAAAACATAGAAAGTTTTTACTAACGGTGGAGAAAAGTGTGAATTAAATCTATAAAGTATAACATTTTTATGCCTGCTTTGTTTTCCACTATCATAGGCCGATTTATATAAAGATGTTTTGAGCACCTTTGTTGCTTCTAGTTTTGCAATGGCTTCATATACCTTTTTAAGATATTGTAGATACAAAATAGAATAATTCATTGTCCATTTGCATTTTATTCATTGCGTGATTTCACTTGTTGAAGCCCATTGCTAATTGTTTTCTTCCTCTATTGCAGTTATTTCCAAGCGGTGAGATTTCAAGGAGAATGGATTCAATCAACCAACGAGACAGAATATCAAGTTTACCAGATGTAGTTCTGGTTATGATCCTCTCTTTCTTGTCCTTCAAGGATAATATAAAGACGAGCGTTCTCTCGAAGCGCTGGAGGAACCTTTGTTATGAAACAGGGAACATTTCCTTTAAGGAATCAGAGTATGTGGACCACTCTGTCTCCGACTTCTGGTCCAAAAGGGTGTCATTTGTTCACTATATGCTCAACTGGGTCTCTAGAGTTCCCATTGAGGTTATCAAAAGTTTTGAAATTTGTCTCGGTTATCCTGTTGGCTTCGAGGCAGAGATCAAGTATTTGATTGAGTTTTCCATCTCAAGACAAGTGAAGAACCTAGTTCTTGACTTCTCAAGCCCTTATTGGAGAAACACATGGGATGGGTTAAGATATGATGACTTTGTTATTGAATTGCCTACACTCTCTTACGGTCTACAAACCCTCGAATCATTGAAGATTTACGCATGCTGGTTTGACCCCTCGAGATTCGAAAACTTAGGACTAAGAAAGCTCTCTATTGGTTGGTTCAGACTCAAAAAGATCGAATCTCTGCTATCAAAGTGCCCTTTGCTTGAGAGTTTGAGTATCATCTCTTGTTACCTTGATGAGGTTATGTTAGCTGGGAATATTAGAGAATTGATCATGGAGAACTGCATTATCCCTACCATGTATTGTGCGTTAAACCTACCTAACATAGACATCTTCAAATACTCCGGAAATGTTATCGTCTTTGATTTTCAGAAAGTGAATATGATACTACTAAAAGAGGTGTACTTAGATTTTGGAATAGAGCATGATAATGACGAACCAATCTATTCAACTAATAAAGAAGCTGGAGATATTCTTTCCCATCTGCTTAATGATCTTCGGTCTTCTAGGACCTTGACTGTCTGCCCTTATCTCCTTGAGGTATGTTCTTAACAATAAATTCTTTGCAATATGAACAGATTTTTACAAATTTGTTTTCATTCAGTCTTTAACCGCAATCGAGACTCATTTTACTATATTTTTAGAACACAATATTAAAGTAATATGGTAATATATAATTATGGTTTAGAGGATTATAAATATGTTGAATTGTTAGACAATAAAACTGACCTAATTACCATGTGTATCCGTGTGTTGTATTTTTCTTATGATAGGTGATTCCAGAATGTAACGATCCGGTTGATATGCTTCGTGATGTGGTAACACAACATCTGGTGCTAGAAACGCTTCTACATCCGAAGGAGTTTACAGGAATTAGGCTCCTTCTCGATCATTGCCCGAACTTAGAGACCCTCACTTTGGAGCTTCTTTGTCCAAGACCTTTCCCTGTAAGATTACAATATATTAATTGAATACATATGATAGTCACATTACTCTATAGAAATAACTTTTTATTAATATTATTATTACTTTTACTAAAGCTCATGTTGATATTTCGCAGATGCCTTCATGTGGTGGCATAAGTTCACAGACACTTTGGCTGGAAAACATTTCATCGAGGTGTTTGAGAAGGACTCTCAAGATCCTGGTGGTTAGGGGTTTTTGTAATAGCTGGAACGAGTTTTATTTGTTGAACTATTTGGTTAGGCCGGAGCATGGGTATGCATTGGAAAGAGTTGAACTCTACATGCCGACTTGGCTGAAAGGAACTCAAAGGCAGTGGGCACACTTTGGAGCCGTGATGTTGCAAAGCACTTCAAATCGAGTACAAGTTGTTTTGCACAACGGTTGGTGCATTCGTTGATGTTTTCAAGTTGAATTTATCGACACCTAAGGTTGGAACTTTTGGTATCTTGGTTTGTTTGATTTATGAATAAGAGCCTCGGAATAACGAGGACTTGGTTTTGGTTTTCTCTGCAAACCAAAAACAATAATAAATATTTGAGTAATCATTGTGATATCATATACTGTTTTAAGTTAAGTAAGACTATTTTCAGAATAATATTTCTTTTCTTTTTTCTTTTTTATTATATGATTTCAGTTTAGTAATTTTTTTTTTGTTTCTCTGGTACTAGAATTAAGTTGACTGAACATATACTTAACTAGATAACAGTCCGCACTATGTATGTGCGGGACAAAACGATTATTAACCAATTTTAATGTATTGATGATATTGAAGGTGTTCGATTTTTATATTATTAGATAGATAAACGGTAGTATATTAGGGATTATCAAGATTAGTGAAATTTTCATATATGTATTAACTTTTATGTTTATCATAATTTATGATATATATTTTGGTATATTAATCAATATACAAAATATTAGGTACTCCATTTTGTATAGATTTATATATCTTAATTGCATATTTTAATTGTAAAGTGAAAAAAATAAATATAAGTAAAACTAATGGCAAAATTTATAAATATATTAATAAATGTTGGATTTTTAATTAAATGGATTGCGAAGCTCTGTGAAAACGACACGTCAGCATGGCATTTTTTTTTTTTATCGTCCGAAAATTAATTAAAGCTCAGAAGAGCCATTCCTGGGGAATGTTGTTTGCATATGTGATATGAAGCGGTTCTGTACGAACTTTTCTTGTCAGAAAATCTGTTTTTACATAAGCATTACGAGAAATTGAAGATAAAGAGAAGATAGAGAATTCTTCCTTGTCGCTCTGGAATTCCTCCAAATACACTGAAAAAGCCGGCCATTCGGTTGGAGAAGACACCATCTTCACCAGATCAGAACAGTCTGTAAGGAACGCTACTTCTTGATTATCTGCACCAATCATACACTTCATCGCCCAGAGAAAAGCCTCGAATTCAGTATCACCAGCATGACATTTATTTTAATCACAATAAAGATAAAGTTATTTTTTTTAAATGTTTCTCAATTAATATACAAGGGATTTCACTTCAATCTATCTAATTAGTTTCCATTAAATGCATGAACACGTGCATAAACCATAAAAGTGTAAGTTTGCGCAAAAACATCTGTTTATTTGGAACATCAATGTTTAATCTATATTCTTAAAGTGTATATAGTGCAGTCCACGATTTTTTCTAAATATATTATGCTTCTCGTTATAAGGAAAGTAGAGGGCTACATGGTTGAGTTTTCAATTCGTAGGTTATCTTGCTGGAATGACTACTTAATTTTTGTTTTTTTTTTTCCTTTTGTCATCTGGAGTTCTATATTAAATTTTCAAAATGCCAATTACACAATTATCCATAAAAAACTAACAGAACTCAGGAAGATAAACAAACAGATATAACCATAGAAAGACAACAAGAAAGGCAAACGACAAAAGGACCTAAGCACTACACCTAAAAATTTGAACCAGAACACTCCCACAACCATTCCAAATAGTAAGGAGACGCCAAAGCTGCCCCAAAAGACAAGAGTCTAAAGAAGATTCTCTAAGAATGTTTCAACAAAAATATAAGTGCACTTTGGTGATATAGTTAGCCAAATTAATTCTTTTAATCTCTCCTCATGCACACTATATATTTTGAAATCGGGGTCTTACAAACTCAAGAATACCAACAGTTCTAACATGTGGACACTCGCAAACCAGCATTAACCATTTACATACACAAAACTGGTTTCTCATCACAAGAGAATAATTGAAGATCGAAGCAACTCCATTACCCTTGAACTCAATTCGAATCCCAAAAGATCTTTAGACAAGAGGAGGTCAATACCTTTGTAGCAGATCGAATACCATCTGAATGACCAACCTTATGAACGAAACCTAAACAAAAGAAACACACCAAGAAATCGAGAGGATCCAACTAGGAACCAAGCTCTTTATCCGAAATAGAGAAAGAGTATGGTTTGTACAACCCAATCATACAAGAAACCATTGAAATAGAGCCTAACAAACTAACTAAAACGCTACACTTCCGAGGATTGAATCTCATAAACAAAAAAAAAACAGAATCATGAAGAAGAGAAGCAAAACCAAATGAGTATCAAACATTATCAGCAGAATACTCAAGAAGAGAAGCATGGCACCCCTGAAGAACTCGCACAAGCCAGGAAGTCCACCAGATTAAAAAGTAAAAATTGCTGCCTCGAAAAGATAGAGCCAAAGCCACCACCGCTGATTCTTGCAAACTCGCGGCTGCTAACCTACCGAAAACCACCGTGGATCACCAATAAACCAAAAGCCACCACCTCATATAACCAATTGAATCTTAACAAACTCGCCAAAGATAAATCAAAGAGCCGATAACCAGACGAACAAGCCAACATCAGCAATTACCAAGCAAAACTACTGATCCACACAAAATCCCAACGAACCCGCCGAGGACATGAGCAAAGCATACGATGTAGAGTAGGAATTCAATTTGGCTGGTCATTAAAATATATGGATTCCATAGAATTAGGTGACTTGGATTATGTAATATGTCTCCATTGTCTTTTTCATTTTATTTATTAAGGTCTCTTCTTAAAGCATTACCTCAATATGTAATCCTCGAAGACGCTCCTTTGTCACCATCTCGAGATATGATGGTAGATTGGTAGGAGAGTTTTTATTAACTTAACTAACACAAGATATCGTTTCCTCCAGAGTTAAATATTTGTACATCTAGTTCCCTAAGGAGTTGGGAATTTATACATCAAGAGAGGAATGGTAACAAACTCAAATTGACAATATCTCACTTCTTCTTTCACTATCATTTTGCAAGTTAAATCTGGCAATTAGCTCCGTTCAAAAATGAGATTCAGATTGATTTAATTTCCATCTTAAAAGAAGGTTTATGCATTTCATAACTTTTTTTTAGCTAATTAACTTTCTTATAGCCAAAATGACTTATGATATTAATTACACTGTAATTCATTCAAATTTGGCCATTAATATTATCAAAACATATGAGTATTTAGTATGCTAAAGTGTCTCAACCCATATTAACTGGGTTTTGGATTCCGATTCGGTTGTTTTATAGCCACAGACTAATTTTTCATAATATTAAAGAGTGAGTTATAAGGTAATCAAGCTGTGGTGATATGGTAATTTCGATTTGAGTTTTATTGTGGAAAAGGCTATTTCATATAATCATACCTCAAATAAAATATATTTTCCATTAATACATTAAGTATACTATCATGGTAATTCCTACCTCAACAAAACATAAATTTACTACTCAAACTTATGAATTCGTGCAAAATCATTTATCTACGGCTACAATGGCAAGAATAAAGTTTAATGACGCGAATACCATTTTTTTTAGAGCAAAAATTTTTTGATGCCATATTATATACATTACCAACATTGTAGAATTAGGGATTCTATTAATACTGCTAAATCAGCAAAGGATTGATAAATAATTGCTTACAAACTTGCCAAATTATTGGTCTATAATGTTGGTATGTCAACTTTCTATGAGTAACAATTAGGTGTTCACAACATGATATACTGTTTGATTCCAATTCGGATGTTTTATATTCATAAATCATAATCAATTTTTTAAATAATATTAAAAAAAAATCAAATGAGTATAAAGGCTAACTACATAGTCAGTTATTCAGTTTTTGCCACTAATTTTCCGTTTGGTAAAAGTGTTTAGTATATCAAGAGAAACTTATAACTCTCATTCACGTCCTCTTTTATTCCATCCACAAGGTTTTCAAATACAAAAATATTTTTATTATATTTTTGATGAGTCATCAACTCATAATCAACTTTCTTAGTACATAAAGAGAAAAATGATTCATGAGGTTGATTACATTGTAAACCACTTAATTAAAACTATTGTTTTCATAAATATATGCTTTATTTTTTGCCTAAAAATATAGTGATTGAGTCAAGGAAGACGTGAATAAGAATTAGGATTTTCGTAGGGTTTTTTGTTTTGTAGAATTTGCATATTGTATACGTTTTTTTCCTTCTGAGCACAAGTTAAATGAATTACAATGTAATTTTAATCCCATGACTCATCTACCTATTTATATATATAAGATATTTTTGTGTGACATAAGAAAATCAACAACTTTGGACAAAGATCTTATTTCTACTAACTGTGTGAAGGGAAAGCAAAGATGATACAAGAACTAAGTCTGGTAGACTAGATATTCTATCTTGTTGATTAATTGAATCTCATCTACCAAAATGCACCGTTTGAATATAAATTTGACAAAGAAAGATGATACTCAGCTATGGTCTTCCACTATCGAAATCTTGCAATGGATTAAAAGAAATTAACAATAAAATCATATTTTTGCGTCTATGTATATTGTTGTTGTTTGAATCACATTTAATTTACCAGCATTGTATAGGCTTTTTTGAGAAATTTTAAATAAAGGGATATTATTTCATATTCTATTTTCATTTTATCTATTGTACGGTTTGAATGTCAAAACACATAGTTAACTGTCTTGTTTATCTGTCAAAGTTATTAGAGTTCATAGATAAAGAATGGATTTGAGCAACCATCATTACAAAATATAGAGTCTATCAGATGCCCTACTTGTCTTGATCCTATCTTCTTTGGCCTATACGAAAAATGTAAAGATGTGTGTTATCATAAGGCATTAGAAATTTTTTGTTGTAAAACTAAAAACATTTTTTTTAAGGAATCTGAGTATGTAGATCGCTCTAGCTCCAACAAAAAATATCCATAAGGGTTTGTTTGTTCGCTATATGTGTTATGGGTCTCTAAATTTCTTGGTCAAATCATGGAAAGTTCTTTTTTTTCTCTCTAATCGAGCAAGGTTTCTGGCAAAGATTGATTCCTTGGTCGAGTTCGCCGTATTTTGAGAAGTGAAAAAGTTAGCTCTTGATTTATGACACCCTACTTGGATATAAATACATGGGATACATAGAAGAGTGATATTGTTGTTGAACTGTTCGTATCTGGTTTATCGACTAGCGACACTTGAGCATTGTAAACAATGTACATGAATTAATTCCGCAAGCTTAAATTTTCAATAACTTGAGAGT